GGCGTCCCCGGGGCGGCCGAGCGCCGGTGCGCCGACCTGTCTGCCTGCGCCTTGGTCCTCGCGCGGAAACGGTGCCCGGGGAGAAGCAGCGAACGCTGCCGGTGGAGCGTGAGGTGTGGGAGGTGGGGCGATGCCCGGGCGCCGGCCGTGGCGTTCGGCGCGCCTCGGAGGAGCCTGTGGAGCGCCGAGTGGGCGCCGCGGAGCGCGAGAAAAGCCTGTCAGTCGGTGACGGCGGGTTCGCGGCTCGTCTGAGGGGAACCTCGTTTCGCGGGCCCTCGCTGGGCTTTTTCATGCCCGCGGGGCATGAGCCCTGAGGACGCCTCGGATCTTAAGCCGGACACCCCGCTAGCACTTAGTTCGAGGAGTCCGGCGCGGCTGGGCGCGGAAAGGGGGTTGGCGGCCGTGTCGGGCCCGTCCCCTCCCCCTCGCGCGGAAGGGGGGCGTTTGGGATTACTCAGGCGGGGGACGCCTCCCCCCAAACATGTTTCTTCGATTTGTAGTAAAATCATGTGACCTTTCCGGATTTCACTTGTATCTTTTCATCATGTTCTGTGAGGCTCTGGCTGCCAAAAAAAATTAAGTTTTAATGTCCTAGACAGACTTCAGCCGCCAGTGGGCGGGGCACCCTGGGGAAGGTGCCCCACCCTGCCAGTTTGGGCCCAGAAAAAACCTTTGTTGAGTGGGAGAATGGGTCTCTCCCGAGGTTCGTAATACACGTGACTGAGCTCTTGTGAAGTGTCACAATTTTAAGGATGAATTGACTCCAGGATTTAAACAGCATGATAGGCCTCTTCCTTCCTGCAAGGTGGTGGTCATAGGATAGAGCTTTTCTCCAAGGAGGTTTCAGCTCCTGGTAAGTTTTCAGGCCAGCAAAGACTCTGATGTAAATATGTATAACCAGAAAAAATTTTTTAAAGATTTATTTATTTTTGTATACCAGAACTGGGGTACAGGCCGGAGGTGTGGGGGATGAGAGGATTCACCAGAGACAGAGTGGGGAGCAGAACAGGCTGATGTACTGGAATCCACTGCTGAGGGGAGCAGCGTGGGGAGATAAGAGCGGTCTGCTGCAGCATGTGGGTCACTCCCTGGCTGGAGATTGAACTTGTGCTGCAGTGGCTGCAGGCAGCTTTGTAGTACTGAGACTTAGTGGGTTGTACCACCAGGGAGGGCCCCCAAAACTGAACTTTAAATGCTCCATTATAAAGGCATATAAAAATGAAAGAAATTTAAAATAAATTAATTGGGGGAAATAGATAAAATATAGTAGAAATATCACTAATGTTTTTTGAAGCTATGTGGTGGGGCAGGGATGAGCCTTCTGTTACTCTGCTTTGGTGTGTATTTGAGAATTCCCATTGGAGCCAAGATGTGCGCACATTAGAGCTCTGAAATATTCTCCCAGGGCCTCCCTGTGTCCTACAGGTTAAGTGTCTGTGCTGTCACCTCTGTGACCTGAGCTCCGTCCCCGGCCAGGGAGTGACCCACGTACAGTACGGCAGACCTCGCGTGTGTTCCCACTGCTCCCCTCAGTAGTCTGTTTCAGTAAATCCACCTGTTCTCCTCACTCTGAATGCAAAAAGGGACCAAAGTAGTTCCCCCAGAAGAATATGCTCCAAACTGATAGTATCGATTACCTCTAGAGAGAAAGGGAAGGACACAAGATTGAGAATGAGGTCAGTGTAGACTACTTGTTTTAACCTGTGTAGTTAGAAAAATACATTTATGATAATAAGCAATTAAGAGGCTGTGCATAATTTAATCCAGTGCCGTTTCCAGCAGATCCAGCCTGCACCCTTCAGACGCAGTGCCAATGGCGCAGTGGGAAATGCTTCAGAGCCTTGACAGCCCTTTTCAGGAGCAGCTGCACAACCTCTACTCCGAAGCCCTCCTGCCAATGGTTGTTCGACAACACCTGGCTGCCTGGATTGAAGACCAAAACTGGTGGGTCTTTCAGACGCTGCGAGGATGGGGACAGTGGTTCCCGCCCTCCAAGTCGCCGGGTCCTGGAGATCCTAAGGGTGGAAAGGGAGGCGCGAAGCAGCAGCCTGCAGAGGCCAGTCGGTGTCATTCCTGGTCCCCAGGCAGGAAGCAGCGCTGGACAATGACAATGCCAAGGCCAACCTGCTCTTCTTCCACTTTCTGAATGAACTGAACTACGACTACAGCCCCTGCAGCACAGACCCGGAGAGCCTGCTGCTGCAGCACAACTTGCGAAAATTCTACCGGGACATCCAGGTACTTCGAGGAGGCAGGATAACAAGTGGGACTGGGGCCCGAAAGGACCCACAGGTGTGGGTTAGCATGAGGGACGGGACTCGGAGGCACAAAGGAGCAAGAGCTGAGGAAAGAGGGACAGAGTCTGGCTAGAGGGGTTGCTGCAGAGGGAAGGGCAACAGCTATGTGACCCTGTTGCAGCGAGGCTGGGGCTTGAGGGACCAGTGACCAGAAGGTGGACAAGGAACCCTGCAGGAGAGGGCGGTTTTGGGGTCCCCGTAGGGAGTGTCTGAGACAATAGTTCATTGAATTTGAGGAATTCTTTCTCTACTGCAGGTCTTTGCCCAAAATCCTACAGAACTGGCTGGGATGATCTTTAATCTCCTTCATGAAGAAAAAAAAATTCTGATCAAAGCACAGAGGGCTCAGTTGGTGAGGACAGTCTGAATGTGCTTTTACTGGAGTAGCAAGGGACCTTGGAAAGGATTTGGGGCATTTATCTCAGAACAAGGTCTTCCCATATCCTATATAATTTTCAAGTCTGGACTTCAGCACTGAAAATTCAGATTTGCAATGTGCTCAGAGCTGCTTATTCCAGGAGCAAGGAGAGCCAGACCGCAGAGCGCCGGTGGAGAGCCAGCAGCACGAGATTGAATCCCGGGTCACGGAGTTAGGGACCATGATGGAGGTTGGTAGATGTGGCCAGAGCAGGGTGGGCGGGGCTCAGCCTTCTGCCCCCACAGAAACCACCCTGATCTTATCCCTTTGCAGATGCTGGTGAAGTCTGTCAGTCAACTGAAAGACCAGCAGGATGTCTTCTCCTTCAGATATAAGACCCAAGGTAGCGAAAGGTGTGGGGAAAAGATGGGGGCTGCTAGGAGGCCGAGGGTGGGAGAACCGAAGGGACAAGTGCTGGTGAGCAGCGCTCACTCCCTGGCTGTAGACCTGCTGTCCTCCCAGGCTGTGCCTCGGGCATGCTGGAGCTGTGGCCCGGGGCAGCTCGTGAACGCCGGAGGAGGTGTGTGAGGTGGGCTTCTGGCCCAAGAGGGAGTGTGCAGTGTTCTCTGAGGGCCCAGAGGTGCCTGCACTTTGCTGGGTTCCTTCCTCTGAACCTGCCCCCCAGACTCAGTGGCGGTCTGGGCCAGGAAGCGGGGAGGGGCCCTCCGCCTGGAGGCTCCGCTCACTCCTGTTCTTGTGCCCAGTGAAGACAGCCTCTTCAGACTCCCATCACATCCGACAGCAACAGCTTCTGCAGGAAACGCTGAATGAACTGGACAAACGGAGAAAGGTGGGCCACGGGGTGGGGAGCAGGGAGATGAGGTGCCTGGGCGCCCTGACCCCTCACTCTCAGCTTGGCTCTTCATCCCCCTTGGCAGTGATGCGGGAGGGTTCAGGCGCCCCTCCCCTGCCTTCCCTAGGAGGTGATGGACGCTTCCAAAGCGCTGCTCGGCCGGCTGACCACTCTCGTAGAGCTGCTGCTCCCCAGGCTGGAGGAGTGGAAAGCCCAGCAGCAGAAGGCCTGCATCGGGGCCCCTGCGGTCAGCAGCGAGCAGGTGCTGGAACAGCTGGAGCAGTGGTGAGAAGCACCTGCCCTGTGTCTCCCCCTCTGCTGTCCCGCCTCCTGCTTTTAAGGCTCAGGCCCCGTGTGGCCCGTGACGCCCTCCTGAACCTCTGCCTGTGTCAGCTGCACGAGGCTCTTCTTTCCCACCCAGTGCATCCAGCAGAGGCTCCGGCTCCCGCCGCTGCTTTGTTCTGGTGAAATGGGTCCACCCACAGGTTTCTCCTTCCTTTTTAGTCACTCAAGAGAGGTATTTTCTACATTTTTTTAACTGCAAGGGATAGAATGCCAAAAAAGAAAGTCATCTGATACCTTATTACCAATTGTAGCTACTGTTAGTATCATTAAACAAAATTATATTTTTAAAGACTTACTTATTTCTACATACAAGAGTTGGAGTGCAGGCCAGAAGAGCAGGGGTGAGAGGGCTCCCCGGTGACAGAGCGGGGAACAGGACAGGCGGCTCCCTGGAATACACTGCTGAGGGGGCAGCGGGGAGACAGGAGAGGGCTGCTGGGCCCTGGGGTCCCTCCCTGGCCGGGGATGGAATGCGCGCTGCTGCAGCTGTGAATGGTTTCATCGTGCTGCGCTTTAATCCGCCGCGCCGCCAGGAAGGGCCCTACATTTATTTTAAACGGCACTCACAGGGCCCTCCCTGGTGGCACAGCAGGTTAAAGCGCAGCACTAGGAAGCTGTCCACAGCTACTTAAGCAGGAGTTCGATCCCCGGCCAGGGAGGGACCTCCAGGGCGCGGCAGACCCTTCCTGTCTCCACGCTGCCCCCTCAGCAGTGTGTTTCAGTGGATCTGCCTGTTCTGCTCCCCACTCTGTCTCTGGGGAATCCTCTCACCCCCCACACCTCTGACCTGTACCCCAGTTCTTCTGTGTATGAATAAATAAATCTTTATAAAAATAAAACATGAATTATGTAGCCATTCTTCTTGGGATCACATACAACCCATCCCCTTCTGGTTGAATGACCTTAAATAAGTCACTTAACCTCTCGATGACTCGGTTTTATCGTCTGCAAAATGGGAAAATGTCAACTGTCGTATGAAAATTAGCTTTATTATGTTAATAAAACTTTTGCCTGTCTTCATGTGAAATGGCTTTGATTTTCCTTTCTTGGATTTATGAAAAATGCTGGATAATCTTCCATATAATTTCTGGATTCTGGTTTTTTTGGCCCCAGGTTTTGACTTCCCGAATACACCAGGAGGAACTGTTAGAGACTGGGATGCTAGCAACCCGTTTCTCTCTCACCCAGGTTCACAGCTGGAGCAAAGCTATTGTTCCACCTGCTGCAGCTGCTGAAGGAGCTGAATGAACTGAGCATCCTTAGCTATGAAGGCGACCTGCTAGGGGAAGGGGTGAAGCTGCTGTGGGCCCAGGTCACAGAGCTACTGCAGCGTCTGCTCCACAGGTCTTAAGGCCAGGAAGAGGGCTGAGGGAAAGACCGAGGGACGGAACAGATGGGATCATTCTCACAGATGCTAACCTGGATATTCTCTTCGTATTCGCCTTCCCAGAGCCTTTGTGGTAGAAACTCAGCCCCATATGCCCCAAACCTTCCATCGCCCCCTCATCCTCAAGACTGGGAACAAGTTCAGTGTCCGAATCAGGTGGGCACCTCGGAACAGTCCTGCTTCCCTTTCCTCACCTGCTGTGTTATCTTTCTAACTTTACCGATCTTCCCACTTTGGGCCTTTCTTTTCCCTGTCAGTCCATCTGCCTCTGCTGATGTCTTGTCTTATCTTTTCAAAGATAGGGTCTGCTCAGCAGGTTGCGATTGACTACTTTCTCCCATCCAAACCCTTTACCCCAGGCTGCTGGTGAGACTCCAGGAAGGCAATGAGTCACTGACCACAGAAGTCTCCATTGACAGGTACGTTGAAGCAAGTGAGGTGGTGACCCGGAAGTCTGCCAGTGGGGCGCAGGAGACACCCACACTGCAGCCAGCCCTGGGCTGTTCTAACCCTCCGCTCCTCCCGCGTAGAAATATTACTGAGCGCTCACTCTGTGACAAGGAGCTTGTCGGTGTGCACGTAATTGTCATAGGAACCCCGGTGAGGGTCAGTACACTGTTCCAGCGAGGGACCAAGGCTGAAGAGATTACATCTCTTGTGCAAAGTCAGGTTACTAGTGAGCTGAAGGTTTGGGCTTGAGCCTAAATCTCTCTGATTGCAAAGAGCAGACTCCTAACTTCTATACTGGTCTGCTTCCCACTGATTTTTTTTTTTTTCATTGCTTTCTAGGAACCCTCAGCCGCAAGGGTAGGTGTCCACAGGGAGGCTGCAGATACCTCGCACTGCCTGAGCTGCACCACTCATAGCAGCCCTCGTGGCTGCACAAGGAGGAGGTGGATGCGGAGGGCACGGAAAAGGCAGGAGGGAGGCCTGAGATGGAGTGGACTTTTGCTGTCTGCCTGCGGATTTTTAGACTAGCTCTTGTCTTCCATATCGTCTTCCTCCTGGTTCAGCTTCCGAAGATTCAACATTCTGACCTCAAACCAGAAAATGCTGACCCCCCAGAAGGGGCAGAGTCAGGGCTTAATTTGGGACTTCAGCCACTTGGTAAGAGCAGGGGCTAGCGGGTGTTTCTAAGCCTTGGGGAGTCTTGAGGGCAAAACAGGGAGAGCCCCTCCTCAGGCATTGTCTCTCCCCTCAATTCACAGACGCTGGTGGAGCAACGTTCAACTGGTTCGGGAAAAGGCAGCAGTAAGGTGAGGCCCGACAGGGTGGAGGGGGAGGGGCTGGCTAAAGGGCACTCTGACCACTGTGCCATGGCCCTTCCAGGGGCTGCTGGGTGTGACAGAGGAACTGCACGTTATCAGCTTCGTGGTCAAGTACACCTACCAGGGTCTGAAGCAGGAGCTGAGAGTGAGTGAGAGGAAGGCAGGGAGCGATGAGGCAGCTTTGAGAGAGACATCGGAGATGTGAAACGGTGCTCTGGCTGGGACTTCCCCCCTTGCAGCGAGAAATAGCACCTCCCTCTGTGACCCGTCTTTTCCCAGACAGACACCCTCCCCGTGGTGATTATTTCTAACATGAACCAACTCTCAGTGGCCTGGGCCTCAGTTCTCTGGTTTAATCTCCTCAGCTCAAAGCCCCAGGTAGGAGCTGGGGCCAGCAGGTGAGGGAAGGGAGGCTGGCGAGGGTGTGCACGCCTGTCTGCCGCACTCCTCCCACCTGCAGAACCAGCAGTTCTTCTCCAGCCCCCCCAAAGCGCCCTGGAGCTTGCTGGGCCCCGCTCTGAGCTGGCAGTTCTTCTCCTACATCGGCCGAGGTCTTGACTCAGAGCAGCTGAACATGCTGAGGGAGAAGCTGTTTGGTATGACCCCCTCCCCCCACTTCTCAGCCTCTCCCCAGCCCTCTGTGCTCCCTGCCCTGGGGCCCCAGGCCTGGCCTTCGCTGTCTGACCTGTCTGTCTGCCCACAGGGCAGAACTCTAGGAGAGAGGACGCACTGCTGTCCTGGGCTGACTTCACCAAGGTAACTAATGCCCTGCCCTGAGCCCCCTGGGCCCCAGTCCCAGGACCAGCCCTCCCCCGTCACTCTTCTTGCCCTTCCGCCAGCGAGACAGCCCGCCCGGCAGGCTGCCATTCTGGACCTGGCTAGACAAGATCCTGGAGCTGGTGCACGACCACCTGAAGGACCTGTGGAACGACGGGTGAGGCTTCCTCCTGCGGCTTCCGAGCCCCCCCAGGCCCAGCCGCCCTTTGGGCTGGAGGTGGATTCTGAGCGCCCCCCAGTGGCGGGTCCGGGAGAGACCAACTGCCCCAGCGGCCCTCACCTGTGTGCTGGCCGGCAGCGGGCGGGACTCTGCCCAGAAGCCCCGGAGCCCCACGAGTGGTGGGTGCTGACGAGGAGACTGAGGTTCCGGGGTGTTGAAGGGCAGGGCTGGAACTGGCCCCCAGCTGCCCGGGCCTCTGCCTGCTCCTCGCAGCACCTGGCCTGCCGCAAGGTGCTTTTGTGTGGGGCTCTCTGGCCCTCACATCGCTCCTGGGACGTAGATCATGTCCGTAAGGTGAAGTGACTTGGTCAAGGTGGAGCTGGTTCTAAGTGGCAACCCAGGGCTGGTGCAGGGCTGCGGTGGGGGGCGGCAGGGGGAGTCACACCTGCTTTCGGCTCCAGCCACATCATGGGGTTTGTGAGCCGGAGCCAGGAGCGTCGGCTGCTGAAGAAGACGGTCTCCGGCACCTTCCTGCTGCGCTTCAGTGAAACGTCGGAGGGGGGCATCACCTGCTCGTGGGTGGAGCACCAGGACGACGGTCAGCCTCTGCCCGCCTCGCCACCTTGCCCTTCTGCCCTTGCGTTCCTTGCTCTACTCTGAATCCCTCAGCTGGCGGCGCAGCCCCGGGCCCAGGCTTTCCCCTCACACTGCCTGCCCCACTCCACTCTCCAGATAAGGTGGTCATCTACTCTGTGCAGCCCTACACCAAGGAGGTGCTGCAGAGGCTCCCCCTGACCGAAATCATCCGTCACTACCAGCTGCTCACTGAGGAGAACGTGCCCGAGAACCCCCTGTGCTTCCTGTACCCCCGAACGCCCCGAGATGAGGCTTTCGGTCACTACTACCAGGACAAAGGTGAGAAGTGTCACCGTACATGTCGCCATATTCCTGCGAGACTGCAGGGACTCGGTGCCTGCAGCGCCAGCGCCTCCCTTGGCAAGCGTGCCGAGGAAGTGAAAGGACTTGTCTGGAGCGCAGCGAGTTAGTGGGGGCATGAATGTCGGGGCCACCTGCACAGGGGCCCAGCTACGCATCCAGTGCGCTGACCTCCCGCCTGCTGTGTGTCCCCACAGTTAATCTCCAGGAACAGAAGAAGTACCTGAAACACAGGCTCATCGTGGTCTCTAACAGGTGAGCTACAAGCTCCTCTCTCAACTCCCCTCCCCTGCAGGGCAGGTGCAGGGACGGTCACCTGCCTGGTGCCTGTCCCTCCAGCTGTCTCTCCTGCTGCCCCACTCTGCAGCCCCCGGAGTCTCTCTGCTACTCTCCTTAGGTTTCTCCACAGAAGGTTCCTGATAGTATATTGGATTGTCGGAAAAGTCATGACACATTTTTTTGTTTTTCTTTAAAGGTTTACTTACTTATGCACACACCACTGGGGTACAGGCCAGAGATGCAGGGGCACTCCCCAGAGACAGAGTGGGGAGCAGAACAGGCAGATGGACTGAAATATACTGCTGAGGGGAGCAGCAGGGAGACAGGATGGCAGCATGTGGGTCACCCCCTGGCCTGGACTTGAACTCCTGCTGCAGTGGCTGCTGATCACTTCACAGTGCTGTGCTTTAACCCGCTGCACCACCAGGGAGGGCCCTTTATACTGTTTTTCAAAGACAATAATACATCCTGGCTTTGCTGACAACCCAGTAGTTACATCACTGCTGTCATTGGACACCTGTGGACACTTCCTATGGTGCCATTTCTTGAGCACGTTGTTTTCATTCATGAGATCCACCTGAGTAGGTGATAATAACCATAGATCTCATGAGAGTTCGCTCCATTTCTGGCCAAGGCTCAAGGCTTTGTGTTTTCTCACTTGTTGAACCTTCACAGTAGGCTTGAGGCAGGGACTGTTCTTACTGCTGTGTTCAGCTAGGACACTGAGGTGGTGGTGGCGATGTGGCATGCCCGGGGCACGGCTAGTGAGTGACCCAGGTCTGTCAGATTCCCGAGCCCTGCCCGGAGCTGTCCTACCCCCACTCGAGCACCGCGCGAGGCTGCTACCACCTTACAGCCTGGCTCTGTGGCTCGCAGAGGTCAGGCAACCTGCCTGGTAAGCGGTGGGGTCCGGACGCTGGCAAGCCCGGCTCCAAAACCATCCTCGTAAGCCTCTGCTCTCTTGTTTTCTCAGAGTGGAGGGACAGTCTCTGCTTGCCCTAACGTTCCCCACTCCCCCCGAGGGACAAGCCCTTCCCCTTCTGTCTGTCTTGGGTTCCAGACAGGTGGATGAGCTACAGCAGTCCCAAGAGTGCAAGCTGGGCCCAGAAGCGGAGTCGTTAGACCTGGATCTGGGGCTGGCACCGGGACAGGAGCCAGGGGCAGGCCTGGATTTGGAGCAGATATTGGCCCCAACACTGAAGCTCACACTGGGGCCCACGCGCTGTGTGGGATCCCCAGAAAGGTTGGAGCCAGACCTGGGAGCCCAACTGACGCCGGAGTCTGTTCTGGAGCCTTTGTCAGGGCCAGAGGCAGAGCCAGACCTGCCCGCTGACCTGATACACTTGAACACTGAAGAGATGGAAAGTGAGTGATGGTGTCACACGGCGCGTTTCCTTCCCTAACTCCTCTTTCCCCGACTGCCCAGCTCCCTTTTCTCTCGGAGCCTTTCACTAAGCACGCACACCTCCTCTTTCCCCACCTGGCGCTCCCTAGCCCTGCCCGGGCCTCTGCCGCCGTCCTCCCTCCCTCTCCCAGCTGGCGTGGGACTCCTTGCCTAAGAGCAGGGCCTGACTCCTTTCTCTGAACTACACAGTCTTCAAAAGTGACATGAAGATCGAGGAGATCATGACCAACGGCGACCCACTGCTGGCGGGCCAGGGCGCCGCGGACGAGCAGTTCGCCTTCCACTCCAGCCACTTCTGCACGGAGGGGCCCTTGGTTCCTTCCGACTACTGAGAACTGCATTTCCTCTGCTCTCCCCGTATGTCTTGCCCCGTCTAGCCCTACGCCATCACGTTGCTCTCCGAGGATGGGAAATAGGCATGTGTCCCCTAAGGGGTTATCCTGGAGTTTAACGAGTAGTAAAAACAGTGTGGGTGACGGGCCTCCCCGGTGCGCAGGGGTTAAAGCGCAGCGCTGTGACGCTCGATCCTGGCCAGGGAGGGACCCCAGGGCACAGCAGATCCCTCCTGTCTCCCTGCTGCCCCCTCTGCAGAGCTTCAGTGGACCCGCCTGTCCTGCTCCCCGCTCTGTCATGGTGAATCCGCTCACCCCGCGCCCCAGTTCTCATATGCATGAATAAATAGATCTTTACCAACAAAAACCAACATGGGTAAGGAAGGCCGGTGAAGCAGCAGACATGCGGGCAGACTCCTCACTGCAGCCCCCAGGCTGCCGCTGAGCTGCGGATACAGGCGCTTGGGCCAGGTGGGGACTGTTGGCAGGTCCTTCCTTGCTCAGGACAGTGAGCAGGTGACAGGTGAGGCTAACTAGTGACCACCAGCACTGGCCCTCAGAGGGGAATGGAGTGTGACAGTTTCCTGTGGTCCCCGTGACTAGGGCAATCCCTCACCCTTGACTCAAATCTTAAGTGTCTTCTTTCCTGCAGGGACTGAGAGCTTTTCGCCTCAGCCCTCCATGTGACTCTCCTACCTACCACATGAAAGAAATAGGAGGTCAACCTCTTCCTCTTACCAGAATCCTCCCTTGCCCCCCAAACTAGCCCTGCCCACCCCCTCCCTAAAGTGCTCCATCACACTAACATGCTGTGACGTTTGGTACACCCATTGGTCTCCGCCGCCCTGTGCTGAGGAGACACCACTCCCCGAGAACAGGGCTCGAAGGTTCGGGGTATTTAGAATTGCTCTTTAATTAGAACTACAGTCCTCTGTTGTTTCCACATCTTCGTATATGATGGCATCAGACCGAATTGGGTACTTTTGCAAAGAAAAGCCCCGAACCTTAGACTTTCTCTGCGAAGATACCATCCCCTGTGTTTTGTACTTGTTATTTACCCAAAAGCAAGGTGTCTGGTCCTTGAGCGCGCCCCCGTGCAGAGACCACGCTTTTGAACCTAGTACCTTGCAGGTTTATGATGAGACTCTGGACAGACTGAGCCACTCCAGGGACCCCAGGGCAGCGGCCGTGTCTAGTGTACCTTGAAACGTAAATGAAAATGAGGACCTCTATATACGGCTGTTCTCTGCCTGGGTTACAGAAACAGTCCTGCTCGAAGTCTCTTGTATACAGAAATGGCTCTAATAAACTTTCTGCTGACCTGGAAGTGTTTCCTCTCTGGATTGTTTTCTTATCTGCTCGCAGAGTTAGTGTCCTTGAGGACACCAGCAGGTCACGTAGGAACCCCCCAACTACCCCGCATTCCCAGCTCGAGGTGTTGCTGCCTCACTGCCTTGAGCTGCCTTTCCTGCTGCTTAGCTCTCCCGGGTGGGGAGGTACCGGGTGAATGACTGAGCTGTGAATTCGTTGGAGCGAAGGGTGACTAATGAAATGTCTACCTCACTGTCACCCAGCAGGCCAGGCCTAGGGAGAAAACGGGGGTCTGCCAGGCCCCAGCCTGAGCCCTTTTATCATAGCGCCTGTGGAGAGGGGAAGGGAAATACGCACTGGCCTCTTCTCTTTCAGAGGCAGTTTGGTTCCGTGGGTCATCAGACGCCCTTTTGAAGAGAGCCACAGATGTCCTTTAACTAAAGAGTCCCATTTCCTTGGGGGATTTACCTTCATTTTCTTAGACTGTCCTTGCGGCTCAGATTAGCTCTGACTTCTGACCCTGCAGGGGCTGGGACTCCTGTCTTTGGCCAAAAACATTCTCAGCCAAGAAAACAAGGGGGGAGGCGTTGGGTCAGGGAGCAAGAAAGGGGCGCTGCTTCCTGATTAATCCCCTCGTAACCCCACGCACCTCGTTCAGCCATGCAGAGATTAAGGCCAAAAAGACCTCTGTTGGGGCCTCCCTGGTGGTGCAGTGGTTAGAGACACAGTGCTATCAAACTACTCAGCCGTTGCAACACAACTTGGAGTCCCCACCAGGGAGTGGCCCACAGGGCAAAGCGAACCTCGCCTGTCTCCCCACTGCTCCCCTCAGTGTGTCTCAGTAGATCTGCCTGTTCTGCTCCCCACTGTCTGGTGAATCCTCTTACCCCCTGCACCTCTGGCCCGTACCCCAGTTCTTGTATGAATAAATAAGTAAACCTTTTAAAAAGGAAAAGATCCTCTTACTCTACACGGAGAACTACCCCTCCCGAAGCCCTGCGTGCAGCAGGCAGAGCTGCGTGCTATGGCCCCTTGGCCTAGTTTTGACCACTCTGCTGTTGCTTCTTCCCAACCAAGTCTAGAGTTAGACTCAGACAGCCACATAAATAGGTCTTTATTGATAAACATACATAATTCAACATAAATATAATAAATAACCCACCACCCCAAACTGTTGCCATGAGGATAAGTGGCCCCCAAATTTCCCTTCCACCTAAGACTACTCAACCTTGTCACAGGTCGACATCTAAGTCAGTCAGTGTTGGTCGTTTTCAACATGAGCAAGAGGCGCTAGAAGGCACAGGCTGACCGTGAGTGTGCGGGCCTGGTGGGTGGAGGCAGCTCAGCCTCCTGGCCCAGGACCTCGGTGCCACCTGCAGCTGTGGCCTTAAGGGCTCAGGGTGGCTGCTCCGTGGGCAAAGACCCGAGCCGCTACCGCCACAAAGGCCTGGAGGCTGCGCAGGATCTTGAGGCGGAGAAGGAGGCGTTGCCACGGCTGGCTGGGACTGAGGCTTGGTGTCTGCTCCTGCGGCTCCCAGTGGTGACCCTCGGGCTGAAAGGACATGGGACACAGGCTCCTGGGTCCATGTCTCTGCTCCGCTAGGCCCCAGCCCCAGCCCCAGGCCCTCATTCCTACCTTCAAGAGCTGCCTGAGGCCCAGCAGGGAGGCATGAAGCTGGTGCACAGGGCCAGTGGGGAGCAGGGCAGGCTCTCCGCTGAAGATGTCAGAGCCCAGCAGCTTTTCATAAAAAAACAGGCCCTGATGGATCCTTCGCAAGCAGGACTGGGGAGAGAAGAGCAGTGAAACGAGACGGACACCTCTTCCTGTCTGTTCACTGATGACCCACCCCCTTGCCGCACTCAGGGACTGCCGTGGCCAGAATGTGTGGCGCCCCCAGGGGTGGTGCTGAAATGGCCGGTGATGGTGTCAGAGCACCCAGCTCACGAAGGGGCCGGGCTCACAGGACAGACATCCAGAGCGTCCCCCTCCTTCCACCACTGAGAATACAACGTGAAGTCGGCCACCCCCAGGGGGCCGCCCCTGGACCCAGCAGCTGCCCACCTTGGCCTTTCAGCCTTCAAAACTGGGAGAAATAAAGGTGTGTTGCTTATAGCTCCCCAGTCTGGAATCTGCAGTCTGGGCCGTAAGGACAGAGACAACTAGTGCTAATTCACCCTGGTGCCCCCCGCTGTCTCCAGCCTCGTCTTGCTTGTGGCTCAGCCACATCTTAGTACCTGACTGTTGTCCCTGAGTTCCTGGGGATCACAGCCGTCCCCACACTGGATATGCGGGACATGACTTGTGCTCTCCTCATTTTCTTCTCTTGGTAGGTCCTGGAATGGAGGAAGGGGTAGGACGAGCGAGAAACAAGACCAGCCCTCTGAAGGCCCGCTGCACCCTCGGTCCCTGATTCTCCATCTCCCCAGTCCGCTCATCCCCCAAGACCTTCAACCCAGCCTCCATCCAAGGCCTCAGCAGCCTTCCCTGCAGCCTCGGAAGGCAGCCTGGACCGGCCCCTTTGGTGCAGAGTTGCCACTTACCACGTGTCCCAAGGGCGCACCAGCGCTCCAGGCCAGCGAGCAGAGCTTCTGGGAGAGCTGCTGGCACTGGTCCCAGGCAGGGCTGCCTCCCGCCCTGGGCGGCAGCAGCAGCAGCAGCAGCAGCGACAGCAGCAGCAGCACAGCTCCGCTCCCCCGCATCCTGTCGCCAGATGCTGAGCCTTGCAGGGTCCTCATGGAATCCGTCACTTCCCCTTGCTGCGTCTGATTCTCTGCTCAGCGCGTGTCAGGCTTTGTCCCCTCAGTTGTTTCGCAGAGTGTCTGAGCTGCTTCCTGTTGTTTTTCTTCCCATGGCTCTGAGTCCCTTTTAAGGTCCCTGTATCTAAGATCCGCCCTAGAGTAGCAGGTGACTCACAGCAGGTGGGATTTCCCTCCCTGCATCATCGCTCCGCGGGGAGCCCAGGTATGCAGCCTCAGTTCCAGGGGAAACAGTCGTGTGGTTACTGTGGCTGAGGCTTGAGATGGGGTCCAGGCACTGTGAAGGGGACGGTGGCGGCAGGAGTAACTGAACATGCAAGTGATTCCCGACTCAAGCTCTCCCCTGCTTGGCCTTTCTTTCCCTCATCTCTTTGCCTCTCCAACTCCATCTTCCCATCCCGAGCCTATTTCTTCACCTTCTCCTGCCCGAGAGAAAGACAAAGCAGAGAAGCACTCACCTCTCAGTGAGTTCAGTTCCTCCCTGGGGCAGCTACTTAACAATAGGAGCTGCTTTTTCTCTGTGGACAGCAGTGTCCTTTCGCTGGGAGAGAAGGAATAAAAGGCACTTTGTGAGTTGGAAGTCACGACATGCCATGTAGGGTGTCCTTTCCCCTCCACCTCCAGCCTACCATGGAAGCTGGAAAGTTTGGACAGAGAGTTTTTGCCGAGAACCCTCTGATTCCTCAGCTGTCGTGACCCTAAGCGTCCTGTGAGATTCAGGCGCTGGTTCTTTGGGGACATACAGCAAGCAAGGTTTAGAAACCCACTTAGACAGCCCAGCACCCAGCCCCTGAAAGTGATTCAGGAGAGCTGAAGCGGGTCAGTGACCCTGACTGTCCTGCAGCCTGTTGCATCCATGGGTAAAATCCGCTGACACTGATTTCATCATCGCCCCTGATGCAACAGCCAGTGAAACAGCTGAGAGTCGAGGTTGGGTGTGGGAGTGGAGGGTGGTCTAAGCGGGGACTGCCCCAACCCCAGCGGAGGGTCCCAGAACAGTTTGGACGTCAGAATGAGGCTCTGTGTGACCACACAGATGGCCTCCACAGCTGCCCCGTGGAGGCTGACCCTTTACCTCTGAGAAATTTACCCTCAATAGGTCCCTTAGAACTACTCAAAACTGCCCAAAGAAACTTTTGATGTAAATTTCTTGCCTGATAAATCCACCCTTGGGATCAAACATTTCCAGCTTCAGGGAGGTGATCTCAGTTTGACTGAGAAATGCTTTGTCTCCCAACAAGACAGTGGACCCGAGCAGAATGAGGAAATCGGTGGTGACAGCGAGTGTGGACAGCTGGGGAGCTCAGCTTACTGGGGACAGGGTCTCGGTGCATAAAGCCTCACAGGCATTTCTTAGCCCTGGGAGCCTGACAGTAGAGGAGGCGAAAGGTGAAGAGGAGGAAGTAGAGCCTGGGGGATGGGGTGAGAGTGACAAGGGTGAGTTGGAGGCGCGGGACTCTGCTGCGTGTTTCACTTCCTGGTGCTGTAGGAGTTGGGTAGGAAGCAAGGCCGGTGGGGCAGCTGCGGGACTGTTGGGCAGCTGGAATTACTTCCAGGACTAGGCCTGGCCTGGAGCTGCGGGGCGCCCCTGACGTCAGCTAGGTCTACCGTTATGCAAATCACAGCCACTCCTAAGCAGGCATTTCCAGTTGGAACCCGCTCCACAGCCGCCGCTCCTGCTTCCCCCAGTGCCGGCTCCCGCTGCGCAGCTGGAGCGCCAGCTCTACCTTTAAGCCAAGTCCTGGGCCCGGGCACTTTTCTTGTGTCAACCCATGTTACTCTGAAAAGGACCCAAGGAGGTGCTGTTATGGCCCCCGTGTTGCAAATGAGGAAACTGAGGTGCAGAGCTGGGGACCCGGCCCAAGATCACAGAATTAAGTGTGTTGTGCCAGTTTTCAAGTTTCCCAGAGACCACCAAGGAACCGATTCTATGCAAAGCACCGGAGGGTCTTTATTGCAAGCTTGAGCCTGGGCTCCCAACATGCAGCGACGCAGCAGCCGAAGTTGAGAGCCCGGAGCTCAGGGAAGGCAGGTTTTTATTACAGAAGAGGGGAGGTTAGCCCAGCAGAATTTTGCTCAGCAGTGCATTGATTGGTGGACACTGAACGAAGTTATCTTGTCTTAACCGGGTTGATCTATGCATGTAAGATGTGACCTTAGGACATCTGGTGTTTTCCTGATACGTGCTGGTTACTTGCCCACTTGCTAATTGGCTGTTGCTATGGGATGAGCAAGATTAGGACATTTACAGTTAAACTCGGCCTGGGCGCCTTGTTGATAACTGAAACTTAGGCCTGGCTGGTTCAGAAGCATTCTGAAGCCTGTCATGGCGTCACTTTGGTCTTAAAAGTGTAAAGAATCCTGCCATCGACAGCTTGGATTCTGAGCTTGTGGTCATCATTCCACTGCCGGACACTCTGGACACTCTGGTAACACAGGGGTGTGGTCATGCAGCTCATTAGCCTCAGGTAGCTGTGTGTCTCCAGCCCATATCTCATGGGTCTGTCAACTTCCTCAACATGGACATTTCTTCAAGTGTAGAAGTGGTCTCAGTTGCTCGTGCCGTACCTACGTTTTTGTGAGATTTTAAATCTTGGAACTTATGGAGTCTGGTCATTTTTTTTTTTATTAGTTGAAGTCTGGTCATTTTGACAGTCCTCTGTTACATTTTCTCTCAGTGCACCATGGACTGGGAGGAGCCGTCTAAATACTGGGAAGAGAAATTCTGTTTGGTTTTTTTTTTCAATTAAAGTCTAGGAGGGGGCAAGGGTGGACAGAAATGCTTTATTTACTTTTAAAATTTTTAAAGTTTATTTATGCATACAGAACTGGAGTACAGACCAGAGGTACAGGGGCTGTGAGAAGCTTCACCAGAGGCACAGTAGGGAGCAGAACAGGCCGACTGATGAAGTACACTGCTGAGGGGAGCAGCAGGCCGGTCAGGAGAGGTCTGTCGTGCCACGTGGATCAGCTCCTGGGGAACGGGATCAAACTCGTGCTGCACCACCTGGGAGGGCCCGGGAAATGCTTTAAAACTGCTCTCCGTGAGGAATTCCTCCACCAAGGGGGGACCTCTGGAGACTGGAGGGTCAGGAGAGACCTCACAAGATGGCCCCACTCCAGGGCAATTTGAGTTAGACTTCGGGGCTCCCTGAGAACAACTATAGACAGGTCTGGGGAGGCAGGCGTCTCCCCGTGGGACTCCTCGTCCCCACGAGGTGGGCGTTTGACGGCGGCGGTTCAGCTCCTGGGCACGCCTCCCTGGCCTGGCGGGAGAGGTGGGGGTAGGGCCCGCGGCGCTTCGGGTGAATGCTTTGCGCGTGGCGAAGGTGCAGCTCACAGCACCCAGAGAAGCGCCTGGCTCCTTCCCCCTCTCAGATCGGGCAGGGACAGAAGCGCGCTCGCCTCCGAGACCCGACAGTCTGAGGCGCGACCCGCTCAGCCCCGCGAGGAGGGCGGGTGGCCTGGGCGGGAAAACCCAGCGCTTTGCCTCGGGCGCTCCGGACTCCCGCTCCTAAGTCGCCGGAAGCACTTTCAAGGGCGTGCGCCCCAACCGCGCTCAAAGGCGGCTCCAGTTCAGGTGCCTCCGCGGAAAGGCAGCGCCGGTCCCACTTGTCCCCAATGGCACCCCGTCACGTCGTTGGCGCCCATCTCCTGACGTCACACGGCCCTCCGCGTGGCGTCGGTACCTGGCTCGTCCTGATTGGCTGGCGCGTGCCCCAACCCTCTCCCGATTGGAAGCGGCCGGAAGCCGCCGTCCCGTGCGCCCTAGGGTTAGGTTGAACCTGGTTCGCGGAGGAGAATTAGGGAAACTGGAATTTCCCGTGGAGTTGACGGCGTTTGTTCTCTCCTCCTCGTGTTAATTCCACGCGCTCCAAAATATCCGCCATGGAGAAATCTTGGTAATGATTCAATGCCCCTCTGCGTCCCAGGAACACATCCGACCCTTGCCCCGAGCCCTCCCCGCCGACGGGGGAGAATTCTGGGTAATTTATTATTGTGTTTCCCCCAGAGGATTCTGGGTAAATAGCTTTTTCCATCACCTTCCCTTACCCCGCCCCAATTGTGGATATCTGGCCGTTCTTACTTTCCCCCAGACAACCCTGGGTAACATCACAGAGGATTCTGGGAAACTTGTCTTATTCTACTTCTCAACCCCCACCCCTAATTCTGGGAGACAGGCACCTCAGCCTCCTCTACTTAACTCCTGCACCACAGTTGCTGCTCTTTCCACTGGTGTTGGGGGGGGACGCGGGGGGGTGAACCAGGCAAGTGCGCAGAGCTGGAGGAGGTGACAGGGTTACGTTAGATAGTGGGGTGGGGGTATGATGGCCTAGTGAGAGAAGGAAAGGGCGGCCTTTCTTCCACTCGCTGCCACTGCCCTGCCCCTTCCTGCCTGCTTTCCCCCTGCTTGGCACTTTCTGGCTTTTGCCTTCCTCCTCTCCAGGTAACCTAGGACTCACTAAGTACAAGTACCTACCCTTGGGCTGTGCGCCGACAGACCCGCCCCTGACTCAGCTGCCTCTTTCCCTTTGCAGGCCAGGATGTCCGTGGTAGCCTTCGCTGATGCTGTCCTGCGGAGGGTCGGGGCAGGCTTCTAAGGGGGCTGTGGCAAGGAAGGGCGTGACTCAGGTTTAATCTGCCGTCATCGTCATCATGGACTTCGAGGGTCTGGACCCTGGGCTGGCAGAGTACGCCCCTGCCATGCACTCTGCCCTGGACCCTGTGCTGGATCCCCACCTGAACCCCAGTCTGCTGCAGAATGTGGAGCTGGACCCCGAGGGAGTGGCTTTGGAGGCTCTTCCGGTCCAGGAATCAGTGCACATAATGGAAGGTGTCTACTCTGAGTTGCACAGCGTGGTGGCGGAAGTGGGCGTGCCTGTCTCGGTCTCCCACTTTGACTTGCACGAGGAGATGCTGTGGGCGGGAAGCCATGGGGTAAGAACTGACCCCCGGAAGGGCTCAGAGGTTGTAGCTCCAGGACCGCTGCTTTGCAGGGAGTCAAAACTGAGTTGAGGATCTCTGATTTAAGCCCAGAGGTGGGGAGTGGAGGGAGAAGAAGGGAGTTGATAGGGTCCAGATGAGTTGTACAGGTGTTATTTTTTCTAAAGGCGCCTCATTTCTGCAGTTTGACCATTCCATGCTCTGATTAGTTTTGATAACTACCTATGAGTCAGCCTGTAGTCATTCAAATACTGCCTCTTAATGATGCTTCTGTTTTCCATTTTTGTAATTATGGCATGGTTTTTTTTTTTTTTTAAGATTTATTTATTTATTCATCCACGAACTGGGGTTACAGACCAGAGGTTCAGGGGGAGAGAGGACTCATCAGAGACAGAGTGGGGAGCAGAACAGGCGGATCTACCGAAATCCACCGCTGAGGGGAGCAGCAGGAGACAGGAGAGGTCTGCTGTGCCCTATGGGTCACTCCCTGGTGGGGAATTGAACTTGTGCTGCAGTGGCTGCGGAAAGCTTCACAGTGCTGCGCTTTAACCTGTTGTGCCACCAGGGAGGGCCCAGTTATGGTGTGTTTAAATGCATGTGTCTGCATATCTTGCATGGAATTATTTTATCTTTGATCTTAATCTCTCTCAGTTACTAATGTTAATTTTTAAAATATGTATTCATGTTAACAGTATAAGGGAACCCAAAGGTTTTATAAGAAATAACAGCCTCTCCTTGGTTTATTAATTTACCTTCTATCCCGTGTGAATTCTTTTCCCATTAGAAAGAATGAATTTTGAATAATGTACTCATTTTAGTAGGACGTGTCTGCTGCCATGCTAGAGCCAAGGAATAGAGCAGAATAGAACATAATCTTTGCCCTCAAGGACTTGATAGGACAAAGAAAGGGGAAAAGACAAAACGGATAATTTTGTGGTACTGAGGGCCAGTGTAAAAATAGGTACCTGTTCTAGAGGACATAAAGGAGGGTCAGACGACCTCCAGAAGGTGAGACGTGACTGAGTTTTGAGAGATGATAAGGAGTCAGGTGGAGAAAATGTTATCTTGGTAAAAGCAGCAGGATAAAGAAAGACCCCCGAGGTGTTGGCGTGGAGAATGAAGAGTATAAAAACTACAGACAGTTAGGGTTACTGGGCTGGAAGATGAAGCAAGTGAGACATTAGACATTTCAACCACTGTTTTGTGAGCACCCATAGGCGCCAGAGTTTGCTTTGGGGCCTACGTTTGGAATAAACATTTAAAAGGCAACAAGAAACGGGGATTATAACTGAGATGGAAAAAGTCAACAAATGATGTAAAAAGAAACTATTGCTTTTTAAAAAGGCAACAAGAATACCTTTATAATATATCATATGTTAAATAGTATCCCTACGAAAATTAACTGGTATGGCTATTTTAGAAGCTGGTTGGAGGAGGTGCCTCTGGTTGTCGTGTTTTGTTTTGTTTTGTTTTTTTAAAGATTTATTTATGCATATAGAACTGGGGTACAGCCCAGAGGTACAGGGACAGTGAGAGGATTCACCAGTGTCAGAGTGGGGAGCAGAATAGGCAGATCGATGAAGTACACTGCTGAGGGAGCAACGGGGAGACAGGAGAGGTCTGCTGTGCCAGGTGGGTCGCTTCTGGGACTGGGGATCGAACTCGCAGGGAGGCAGCTGCGAAGCAGCTCTGGCTAGCTGCGCTGTGCTTTAACTCATTGTGCCACCAGGGAGGACCCCTGGTTGTCACATTTGAGGAGGAACCTGATGGAGACCCCAGGGTCTGTTTTAGGACCTCTGTAAGAAAGGGAGGGGCATTGCAAGTTCTAGGGGAAGAACATTGTGGAGAACTTTGTATGCTGTGGTAAAAGGACTTGGACTTGATCTTAGGCCACTGAAGCTTTTTATCCACGTGGCATGGAGCAGTTTGCATCTTAGGTGGAGTACTAAGGGAGCAGAATAGTTTGATTTAAGGAAAGCAGTGAGAACTCAGGCTGTTGTAATACTTTGCATAAAATATGATGGTCTGAATAAAACATTGAGAAAAGATTTGGGAAGTAAAGGCTTAAGTTGACTACTGGGTAGTCATCCACTGAGTTGATCATGACAGTATAAAGAATACAGTTACTAGGGCCTCCCTGGTGGCTCAGTGGGTTGAAGCTCAGCATTGTGAGGCTGTCGCAACCACTACAGTATGAGTTCGATCCCTGGCCAGGGAGTGACCTACATGGCATGGCAGACCTCTCCTGACCTGCCTGCTGCTCCCCTCAGCAGTGTATTTCAGTGGATCCGCTCTGTCTGGTGAATCCTCTCACTCCCCCTCCCCCGCACCTCTGGCCTGTACCCCAATTCTGTATGCATAACTGAAGCTTAAAAAAAAATAAGAATACAGTTAAAAGAATAGGAACAGGATAAAATAGGTGAACTCATTGTAGTATGTAATGAATTTGAGGTTCTCATGGGATATCTGAGGAAGAACTTTTGTAGGTGTTTGAATGCTTAAGTCTGAATTTTGAGGCAGTGGTCTCCACTACAGAAGCTTTAAGGTGGACTGTCAGAATCTTGAAGAGTGGGAAAGCTTACCTAGAAAGACAGGCAATCTGGTAGCGGGAACAACCGTGTTTCAAGAATGGTCAGCAGGGGTGCCCATGGGCGCGGGTGTGAGCTAAGAGTCAGGAGAGAAGCCAGCAGTGAGTAGTGTCATGAGAACCACATGAGGAATGAGTTTCACATTCTCTCTTTTAGCCTGTGACCCCCGGGACACATTTCCCAGATGGCTGGTAGAGACTTAACTGTGGAACAGAAGCAAGCCAGCTGGCCGCTGGAGGCTTGGACCCCGTCCCTGGCCTTCAACACGGTTCTGCCCCGCTGAGCCATGAGGGCTGGGCAGGGTCTCTGGGAGCGCAAAGTGGGGCGGGGTTCCCAGAAGCACTTTGCGAAGCACTAAGCCAGCGTGCTACTGGGGGTGCCCATGTCTTTTTCGCTGAGATTGACCAGCCCCTCTGGGGCCTTCTGCCTCGTCGCTGCTGGCCAGAAAGGCAGGCAGGGCCAGAAACGGGCTGAGCCAAACCCGGCCCTGCCCTCTCCCTGGGATGGCCTGGCCCCACTCAGGGTCTGCGGCCATCCTTCTGCCCCTCAGGGCCACGCTACTTCGTTTTTCGGCCCCGCCTTGGAGCGCTATTCCTCCTTCCAAGTCAGCGGCAGCGATGACATTCGGCAGATCCAGAGCCTGGAGAACGGGGTCCTTTTCCTCACCAAGAGCAACCTCAAGTATATGGCTCGTGGGGGCCTCATTATATTTGACTACCTGTAAGTGCTTCTCGGCTCTGGTCTCTCTGAATGGGGCGCCAAGAGCTTGGGAGCTTCCGAGACACTGGCCTCTTCGCCCTTCCTGTCCCCCGCAGGCTGGAGGAGAGCGAGGACATGCACAGCCTCCTGCTGACGGACAGCAGCACGCTGCTCATGGGAGGGCTGCAGAGCCACATCCTGGAGATTGACCTTAACACCGTCCAGGAGACTCAGAAGGTGAAGAGCCATGCGGGGCCTGGGTTTGCGGGGCCCAGACGGGGAGCTTGCAGCGCTGGGCGTGTGACTCCTGCTCTTCTTTGGTGTGTGGGAAGAGGGAATTTTTTTCTTGTAAATATTTATTTATGCATACAAGAACTGGGGTACAGGCCAGAGTTTTGCAGGGGTGAGAGGATTCACCAGGGAGAGTGGGGAGCAGAACAGGCGGATCTACTGAAGCACACTGCTGAGGGGAGCAGTGGACGGGTCAGGAGCGGTCTGCTGAGCCCTGGGGATTCCTCCCTGGCCGGGGGTTGAACTTGTGATGCAGCGGCTGTGGACAGCTTCACAGTGCTGCACTTTAGCCTATTGTGCCACCAGGGAGGCCTGGAAGGGATTCTCACTGGTTCTCGTTCCTCCGCAGTATGCAGTCGAGACACCCGGGGTCACCATCATGAGACAGACAAATCGCTTCTTCTTTTGTGGCCACACATCCGGCAAGGTGGCTGGGTTCCATTTCGCCCCCACTCAGGGCCCTGTTTCACCAGATAAGGCTCTGCCCTTCCCTCAGTTCTGGAGTTATAGGTGTGGCGGGGGGAGGGGTGGGGAGTGGGTTGAGTCCTGTTCAGCTGTGTTGTACTAGAAGCCTATCTCACCACCCGCTGTTTCTCGTCACTGGTACCTCAGAGGTGAAGGTATAGGAATGCTCTTTGGGATTCTTTCCAGTTCTTGACTTCTCTTTGTGCCTTTTCTGTTTCCCATATCCCAGAGCTTAGTCGTTTTGGTGGGGCCTCCCAGGGTGAGGGAGGAGGCGGTGGCCCTTGCTGCCCACGACACTGGCGAGTAATGCCGTTCTCTCTGCCTCAGATTTCCCTGAGAGACCTCCGTTCCTTTAAAGTGGAGCATGAGTTTGATGCTTTCTCAGGGAGTCTGTCAGACTTTGATGTGCACGGCAACCTGCTGGCCGCCTGTGGCTTCTCCAGCCGCCTCACCGGCCTTGCCTGCGACCGCTTCCTCAAAGTGTATGACCTGCGCATGATGCGCGCCATCACGCCACTCCAGGTGCACGTGGATCCTGCCTTCCTGCGCTTCATCCCCACGTACACTTCGCGGCTGGCCATCATCTCCCAGTCAGGTGTGGAGGGGACGAAGAGGGAGCGGGAAGGCCCTGGGGGCAGACGGGATGGGGCACCAGGTGGAATATACTTCTGGGAACTTCTTTGTCAGAGGGGAGTGACCTTTCAGTGGACTCTCAGAGTCGCACTTAGGTTGGTCACCAGCTGGAGTTTTCATCTTCACAGAAAAAGGTAAAGGTGGAATTGGCAAAACAGCTCCGAACCGCCCTTCGTGGGTGGCAGGCTCCGGGTGCCACCGCACGGAGGCTTCCAGAGCAGCAGCCTGTCTCCAGGCCTGCTTGGGACCCAGTAGGCAGGGTGGCGCCCGCGCCCCGCCCAGACTCAGCGGGCTTCCCTCTCCTTCCCAGGACAGTGCCAGTTCTGTGAGCCCACGGGCCTGGCCAACCCAGCAGACATCTTTCATGTGAATCCTGTGGGGCCTCTGCTGATGACATTTGACGTGTCAGCCAGCAAGCAGGCCCTGGCCTTTGGGGACTCTGAGGGCTGCGTTCACCTCTGGACTGACTCCCCCGAGCCTTCCTTCAACCCCTACTCCCGGGAGACCGAGTTTGCCTTGCCCTGCCTCGTGGACTCTCTGCCCGCTCTGGACTGGAGCCAGGACCTGCTGCCTCTCTCCCTCATCCCTGTCCCACTCACCACCGACACGCTTCTCTCGGACTGGCCGGCTGCCAACTCTGTTCCAGCTCCCAGGTTGTACACCTCACGTCCTGGCCGAAGCGGGGGGCGGGGCTGAGATGCCGAGCCCCCTTCTTTCCTGGGCTTGGTCTCCCTCACTGTTTTCTTTCTCTTTCTCCCACTGGCCCATGGGGCTTGGGGGTGGATGGGCAGACCGCACCCCCTCAAGCCAGAGCTCTGCTGCATTCTAGGCGAGCGCCCCCCGTGGATGCAGAGATTCTGCGCACCATGAAGAAGGTGGGCTTCATCGGCTACGCGCCCAACCCCCGGACCCGGCTGCGCAACCAGGTCTGTTCAGAGGGGAGGCTCAGACCGCCCTCCAGCCCATGACAGCCTCCTCTCCTGTTCTTTTCCTGACCCTCGGTCGTTTCTGGTTTTAGTCAGTAGAGACTTCTTGAGGCCCAGTGAATTGCAGGGCTATGCTAGGTGTTAGGAAGACTCAGAGGCGGAGGAGGTAGAGGTTTTGCTCTGAAGAAGTTAGTGTTTGGTGGATGAGGCTATGACCTAAACCTAACAGAAATTATTTATGTTCTATTGTTAAATTCGTCTTTTAAGCATTTATTTACTTATGCATACAGAACTGGGGTACAGGCCAGAGGTGTGGGGGAGAAAGGTAAGAGGACTCACCAGAGATAGAGTGGGGAGCAGAACAGGCCGATCAATGAAGTGCACTGCTGAGGCGAGCAGCGGGGAGACAGGAGAGGGCTGCCGCGCCCTGGGGTCCCTCCGTAGCCGGGATCGAACACGTGCTGCCTCGTGGTGCTGCACGTTAACCCTCTGGCCACCAGGAAGGGCCTCTGTTGTTAAATTCTGTAAGAATCTTAAAAGCATTCAGCTGCAATGCTTTTTGGAGGGAAAAGTGTTCCTCTGGGCTGACGTGGTCAGGGCTGGCACGCTGAACAGCCGTGGAAGCTGGAAAGGGGGCAGGAGGCAGGTGGGCCGCGCCAAGGGAGAGCTTGTTTGTGAGAGGTCCCCAAAGGCGTAACTGCAGGAAATGTGTGTGGGGGTGCGACCGCTCCACCTGACCGGAGCAGCCGCTCAGACTGGGAGCTAGAGACAACCGTCAGAAGGGCCGGGGAAGCCGCGAGAGCAGCAGGGGAGCCTCGCACCAGAGGGGCGGCGGGGAAGCCTGTGTGCTGGCCGTGTGCTGGGCACAGATTAATGGGCCGGATGGGCAGTGACTGCAGCCAAGGGAGCAGTGGGTGCTGGAAACCCAGTGGGGCAGATTGTTTCAGTGCTGGGGAACAGGTGGGAAGTAGCTGAGGCGACTAAGCGATCCAGCACCGTTAACCTGTCTTTCAAAACTCCAGATTCCTTACCGCCTGAAGGAGTCGGACAGTGACTTTGACAGCTTCAGCCAGGTCACCGAATCCCCGATAGGACGGGAAGAGGAGCCCCATCTCCACATGGTCTCTAAGAAATACCGGAAGGTGCTGGGGACACCCGGGGGAACCCTGGGAGTTTGGGCCTGAGAAGGGAGTCGAATGAGAAGGGGGGCTCCGTGGAGGCCCTTCTCCTGCCACCGGGACGTGGGGGGCGGTTCAGAGAAAGCAGGACTGTGGGGAGCCGGGGACTCACTGGCATCGTCATCCTGCTCAGACTGTGTCTGCCTCAGGTGACCATCAAATACTCCAAGCTAGGGCTGGAAGACTTCGACTTCAAGCACTACAATAAGACCCTGTTTGCTGGGCTGGAGCCTCACATTCCCAACGCCTACTGCAATTGCATGATCCAGGTGAAGGGGCTGTTCCTGCATCTTGGAGGCACCGACGGCCTTCTCTAGGGCCCACACCCAGTCCTTTTGCCCCATCACCCCAAGAAGCCCCGTTATCATGGCCTCCGCGGCCATCTTCCTCGCCCACAGGCGTCAGATCCCCATGAAGCTGCGGCGCCTGCCCCTCGTGCTGCCTGCCAGTGGCACAGGTCTGCTCTCGCCTGCAGGTGCTCTACTTCCTGGAGCCTGTTCGCTGTCTCATTCAGAACCATCTTTGCCAGAAGGAGTTCTGCCTGGCATGTGAGCTGGGGTTCCTCTTCCACATGTTGGACCTCTCTCGGGGTGACCCTTGTCAGGTCAGTGCCTGAAACGTGGACAGTTGGCGGGCAGCAGTGGGGACATCGCTGCGCACGTGCAGAGCGCACGCCTTTGCGCCGGCACATCCTTGCCCCAGCGCAGCCGTCCCGCTCGAGACGCTACTGAGCTGGCATTCGTGCCCCGGGCGTGGGGTCAGCCTCCTGTGCAGCGGGTGCGCAGCTCTGCTTGCCCGGCGCCGAAGCCCCTGCACCCCACCCCTCCTCCCGCCTTGCCTCCCTGCTGGAAACCACCATGGTTTCAGAACCTGAGGGTTGTTTTTGTCTCACCAGTTTGTTCTCTTTGGTTCTATTTCCCAAGCGGGCTAAACCAGCTCGCTCTCTTTCGCTTTCTGGCTTATTCACCCGGTTTAATCACCTTGAGGCCCGCTTGCATCGCCCCAGAATGCACTGCGCCACCTGTGTTAATAGTTGAGTCACAGTCCCCGGGGGTGTGCGCCGGGCACCGTTCTCCATGCAGTCGCCAGTCAGCGGCCGTTCAGGTTGATCCCAGACCCTGGCGCCGCCGCTGCCCGCAGAGGGTACTAGTCGTGCCTCGCGGCCCACCCACATAATGTGCTCCTTTCTCCACCTAGGGCAGCAACTTCCTGCGGGCATTCCGTACCATCCCCGAGGCCTCCGCCCTTGGTCTCATCCTGGCTGACTCCGACGAAGCTTCGGGCAAGGGCAGTCTGGCCAGGCTCATTCAGAGGTGGAACCGCTTTATTCTCACTCAGCTACATCAGGACATGCAGGAGCTGGAAGTACCCCAGGCTTACCGAGGCGCCGGGGGCAGGTGTGGACTCAGGACGGGCTTGTGTCCGGCCACATGGCCGGCCCTTGTGCCTTGCAGGGCCTGCTGGCCCCCGTGTGCATAGATAGCCCCCTCGTCTCTCAGCAGCTTCTGCTCGTCGGGGGACTCTGTCATAGGACAGCTGTTCAGCTGTGAGATGGAGAATTGCAGCCTTTGCCGCTGCGGCAGCGAGACCGTGCGAGCCTCGTCCACCCTGCTCTTCACACTCTCCTACCCAGAGGGTAGTGGCAGTGGTATACCCTGGGCTGGGCAGGGCCCCATGTCTTGTAACACCGGAAGAGAGGTGGGGGGTGGGGTGGTGGCTGGCAGTGGGTACCGGGCAGAGCCTGGAGTGAAGCGTCCAGTTTCCCTGCAGATAAATCTGGGAAGAACTGTGACTTTGCCCAGGTGCTACAGAGAAGTATCTGCCTGGAGCAGAACACACAGGCCTGGTGTGACAACTGTGAGAAGTACCAACCCACGGTGAGTGCCCTGTGCTCGGGCTCTGCCTTGGGTCAGCACTGCCAGCTGGACGAGGGTGGGGACAGCCCCGATCCAAATCCAGTATATATATTTTTTTAAGATTTACTTATTTACTCACACAAGAACTGGGGTACAGGCCAGACGTGTGGGGGTAAGAAGATTCCCCAGAGATAGAATGGGGAGCAGAACAGGTGGATCTGCTGAAACCCACTACTGAGGGAGCAGAGGGGGAGACAGGAGAGGGCTGCTGCGCCCTGGGGGTCCCTGCCTGGCCAGGATCCAGCTCTGCTGCAGGGGCTGGGCAGCTTCACAGTGCTGCGCTGTAACCCGCTGTGCCGCCAGGGGGCCGCCTACAGGTTTCTCCCTGGCAGCCCCTGCCATTTCCCTTGTGGTATCTTTTCAGATTCAGACCCGCAACATTCGCCATCTGCCAGATATTCTTGTTATCAACTGTGAAGTGAATAGCTTGAAAGAAGCTGATTTCTGGAGAATGCAGGCTGAGGTAAGTGAGGACCACCCTCATTTTCTCTTCCTTCTAACCTCCACACATGGTTGCTCCTGAGGAACTGAATTTTCCCCCCTCGTGTTCAGGTTGCCTTCAAGATGGCAATAAAAAAACATGGTGGGGAAATCTCGAAGAACAAGGAGTTTGCTTTGACTGACTGGTAGGTATTGTCTTGGGGTCCTCAGAGGATGGAACTGCCAGTGGCTCCTCCTGCCTCTGGCTCCGTCTCCTCAGATCCGTTTCCAATCCCCTACCTCAGTAGGAAGGACCTGAGAAGCCCGGAGGGCATGCTCGTGTGTCCCTCCGTTGAGGAGCTGAAGAATGTCTGGCTGCCCTTTTCCATTCGCATGAAGATGACCAAGAACAAGGGGCTGGATGTTTGCAATTGGACTGATGGGGATGAGATTCAGGTTGAAACGCTGGGGAAGGGCTGGAGGGTAAGGGAGAGAAGGCTGGGGTAGAAGCCGGGCAGGGGAAGACGGAAGTCCGTAGCGCAGAGAACGGGAGTAAGTCGTTGGCTTTCCTGGAGGGACTCCGGTCAGATGCCGCGGATGGGCTGAGAGAAGGGAGCCCGCCCAGCTCCCCGTGCCCTAGACTCCAGCTCCCTGGCTCGCCCCTCCCCCTCGCTCCCCATCCTTAAACTGAGCTTAGCAGCCTGGGTCCCCCTGACAGTGGGGCCCGGCCAGGGCAGAGGAGGAGCATGGTGTCTGTGTGTACGACCTGATGGCCACCGTGGTGCACATCCTGGACTCGCGCACAGGGGGCAGCCTGGCGGCCCACATCAAAGTCGGTGAGACCTACCACCAGCGCAAGGAGGTGAGTGAGGCACTGGGCAAGGGAGACCGGCGGGGCCAGGCGCAGCCCAGCTCTGCCTGCGACTTGAGTCTGTGCCGAGGGTTCAGCACCACTTTTGGCCTCTGTCTTGCTCTGCATTTCCACAGGGGGTTACCCACCAGCAGTGGTATCTCTTCAATGACTTTCTTATTGAACCCATTGACAAGGTTAGTCATAACAATTTCCATTTCCCTCTTTCTTAGCATCATTCTCAGAGCCCCGAGAGTACCAGGCAGATCCAGAAGGGGGGGTACCCCAGAAAAGGAAGCATTCATAGATTTAAAAACAGCACCAAGTCCTGGCTTCTGTCTAACTGGGGACTCGGGCCCCAGGCTCCCACACAGGCCGCTAAGTGTCTTTTCTTTTATAGCATGAAGCTGTGCAGTTTGACATGGACTGGAAAGTGCCTGCGATCCTATATTACGTCAAAAGGAATCTTAATTCCAGATACAACCTGAACAGTAAGTGGGCGAGGATAGAGCCAGGACTGACCTTTAGGAAGAGACCTGGGAAGTAGCTTACTCAGATAAGGCTTAGTAGCCAGGGTTAAAAAGAGATTTCTGCTCCTCAGGTCCTGAACTGAGAAGCTGGAGGCCCTCCAGAGACCATAGGTCTGAGGCACCCGCAGGGTGGGGAAGGCAGGCCTGGAAACGTAGTGGGCGAGAGCACACGGACCAGTGATGGGCTCTGGGTACTCTGTGGTGGGACAGTGATGGTGACCACACCGGAGGGAGAGGTCCTGCCCTGTCAGAAATCTTAACAAGGCCACAAGCACAAGGTCCTTACTAAACTGTGATTGAAAAAACAAAACGCCGTAAAGGAAAAAAACGAAAGAAGCTGTACATTCTAAGGACGTAGTGTGGAAGAGACAGGGGAGGGGAAAATCACCAAAATGGAGAAGGTTGTGATTTTTCAGTCTACTCCCACATGAAGGGCTCTTCTGAAGGGCTTCCTTGTTAGGCCCCTTGTTGGTACATTTAAACCACAGTTTTCTCTGGAACCTTATTTTTCTAGGTTTTCCAAGCCAACGTCCGAAGGGAACATTTTACTCTCTCCTCTTCGTGGCTTTGTTTCTTAGCAGCTGTCTTGCTGTGTTCTGACTTGACCCACCCGGTCCCTCTCCGCTCAGGTGGCTCATCAGACATCTTTCTACTCATGTCTGATGACGGAGGGGTCACAGTGCAGACTGGCTCCCTGGTCACTTCCCTATCCCAGCTGTCTGCCCTCTGGACTCTCCCTTCCAGTCAAGAACCCTATTGAGGCCAGCGTGCTGCTGGCGGAAGCCTCCCTAGCACGGAAGCAGAGGAAAACACACACTACCTTTATTCCACTGATGCTGAATGAGATGCCGCAGGTTGGGGACCTGGTGGGCCTGGATGCTGAATTTGTCACCCTGAATGAGGTAACCCCCGAAAAAAAGGTGGGGGGTGCGAAGAGAACGCAGGATCTCAGGCTGTTTGGAGCCGTGAGCGTCTCTCCGACGCCCTTGTTAACGCCTGGGTGTAGGAGGAGGCGGAGCTGCGCAGTGACGGCACCAAGTCCACCATCAAGCCGAGCCAGATGTCAGTGGCGAGAATCACCTGTGTTCGAGGCCAGGGGCCCAACGAGGGTATCCCCTTCATTGATGACTACATCTCTACCCAGGAGCAGGTATCAAGAGTGCGAAGGAGCGAGCGAGACAGACCCTTTGCTTATGTAGAGTGCTCTGGAACCCAGGGGCTCTCTGGCCGCCTACCCTGGGCCACTTGTCCTTCTCTCTACCCCCAGGTGGTTGATTACCTGACCCAGTATTCGGGCATAAAGCCAGGAGACCTCGATGCCAAGATTTCCTCTAAGCACCTTACCACTCTCAAGTCGACCTACTTAAAGCTCCGTTTTCTCATAGACATTGGCGTCAAGTTTGTGGGTCACGGCCTACAGAAGGACTTCAGAGTCATCAACCTCATGGTTCGGGCAGGGCGCTTTGGGCTCTTTGGAAATGGGCCCCTCGGGGTTACATGTGCCTTTAAGAACGGCCCTCCCTTCATTCTCCCACTCTCTGGCCCTTGCAGGTGCCCAAGGACCAAGTCCTTGACACTGTCTACCTGTTTCACATGCCCCGAAAACGAATGATTTCCCTGCGATTTCTTGCCTGGTACTTTCTAGGTGAGTTTCCCTATGGTGTTCATTAAGGGCAGGAAAACATGTGGGAGACACCCAGTGATTAGGGGGAACTGAGTTAGTAGTAAGAGTGACTCATGGATTTAGCTAGCTTCAGGACCCTTCTGTACACTAGGAGAGTGTTTGGTTCTTCCCCCAAGGGCAGTCGTGTATGTGCATGCGTGTGTGCGTTTGTGCATGCGTGTGTGTGCGTGCGTGTGCGTGTGTGTACGCGCATGCGCACGTGAGTCTCTGACTTTTCACATTGGCCACATGGTAGATTATCCCCCCACTACTATTCCTTATATCCCCTCCCCAATATGAGAATGCTCATGGTGTTTATTAAAATCCACAGTTTTTGCCCACTGGTTTTTGTAAGTATTTTACTTTATCAGTGTCTACTAGTATTTGTTTTTATCATTCTGACTTTCGGTACTACACATAGTTCCTCAGGCTCCTTCCCTTTGATGACGATGGCTGCATTTCAACTTAGGGCTGACTAGCTGTCCATGTTGTGAAGACACCACATTTTCTGCATCTAGTCATCTATTATGGACGCTTAAGCTGCTTCCCTGTCCTTTAATTATTATAAACAGTGCAGGAAGTCAGTTTTTTCTTGTTGCGTACGGGAAGATAGAGGGCTAAGTAGGGGACATGTTGTAGCCTCCCTTCGCCAGGTACCAAGCTATTCCATTTTGACTCCCCAGACCTGAAGATTCAGGGAGAGACCCACGACAGTATAGAGGATGCCCGCACAGCGCTGCAGCTCTACCGAAAGTACCTGGAGCTGAGCAAGAACGGCACTGAACTGGAGTCTTTCCACAAAGTACTCAAAGGTCTATATGAGAAGGGGCGGAAGATGGACTGGAAGGTGCCTGAGCCAGAGGGCCAGACGAGCCCCAAGAGTAAGGCCTGGGTTGGGACAAGGGGGGCTGGACTGGGCGGGTTTTGATCGTGCACATGAAGATTAAACGTGCCGCGACGCTGATGGCGATGCTGACGCCAACATTCCGCTACTGTAACGGGGTTATAAGGCCCCGAGTCCCTTCAGCATTCAGTGACATGTGTTACTGTTGAAACCCTCTGGTGGTCCTCACCTCATGGTGTCCAACTAAAATGTCTGGAGCGGGGGGCTTGTCCTGTTTTCTTTCGCATGTTTTCTTCATAAAAAGATTCTCCACTCCCTAGAAATGTCATTTCTTGTTTTGTCTCTGACAGATGCAGCTGTCTTCTCCCCGGTGCTGGCGCTCTGAGCTCACCTTCCCCTGACCAGCTACTTAACTCTCCCTCATTGTTCTGTGGCCCCAGAACTGGGAGATGACTTTCCAGGTTGGCTATACCCTGTCCACTTCTCAGGGTCTGCAGACGGTGCTATTCATAGAACTGGAAATGCAGCAGAGCTGTGCAGAGGGTCTAAAAGCCAGACCCCTTTTTCGTGGGTCACAGAGTGGTGTGCCAGAAACAGTTTTGAGGTGACCCAGGTGGAAAGTAGTCGGTGTTCTTAATAAATATGCTAGGGAAATCATATCCAGAAGCTCCTGGAGTGAAAACTTACTGCCTAGTTCGTTAAGACACAACAGTAACTCAAGATTGACCGCCAGTCTCTGCGGGGTGCCCGGAGGCAAGCTTGTGGCGCCATCCCAGCAAACCAGTGTTGCCAACACCACCACTGCCAAAGCGACCCGCCGTCCTGGACAGGAGTGGCTGGCCTCCGCCTCCCACAGCCGGGAGGCCTCGTCTTCCATCCACTTGCCTGTCCCAAGTTTTGTTTCCTGTTATTTTTTAAAATTTTTGTTTTAAACTGCATGTTTTGTAAAATAAAACCAAAACCAGTCTTGGCTGTACGTAGCTCGCGGGGAACCTCTGAGGTCAGACATCCGGCCTTGTCTTCTATCGCAATTGGGAAAATCAAGGCTTTCACATTCCCGCCTAAGGAAAAGCGTGAGGCGCGGGGGCCACCCAGCGCCAGGGCCGGGCTCTGTCCAGCTCGCGCCCGCGTCGGGCGC